TGTTTTTTCCAGAGGGAACTTTCCGCGAGCATCTCTGTCAGATAGATTGACAGCTACTCAGACAGTTACACAAACAGACACACAGAGAGACACGAGCGTGCACACTTGGCACCCGCTGTGGCCAGCGCGCAGCGGCCAGGAGAGGGGGCCCTGTGGGCACTGGGAACCGCTACAATTCCCCCTTCCGCTCCTTTTGTGGGAAGCCAGCTTGCTAAACAGCACAGGCACCTCGTACAACTCAACTGTCAACCCATGAAGGCGGCTTATTGCCCCACAGATCCCTGGTTTCCCTGTTTTATGAGAGGAGCCTGCTGCGGCCGCTGTGCGCGATCCCGGTGTCCTCCACTGCCCCTGTACCCAGCGTAGGCAGCAGGGTGAAGATTGACAGCCAAGGCCAGTCCTGGATGCACAACGAGGAAAGACTTGCCTGCGGTTGGCCCCCTACTGCCCTCTCACGGGGACAGTTTTGCATTTCCAGACTGCTTCCTGGGCTTTGAAATGTCAAACATTTCAGCTATCCTCTCAAACGAATACAAAGCCTGCAGCCAAATGATTTTTTTTATGCTCCCAAAGGGAAGTAAGAAACTATACATCTGCACACACACTACATACATACATGTCCTGTGCATATTCTCACGCATGTGCACATACCTCCACACTTACAAGATTACTCTCATTCCTTTTTTCTCTTCCCTGGGAAACACCCTATTTTCAATAGGAATAAACTTGACATTCTCTTAGATGAGTCAAAGATTACAAAGAAAGGATGCTCTCAATCCAAATCATCAAACTTTTCTCTAATTCTGCTAACTTCAAATGCTACCTTATCAGTTGTTGAAAAGACCTGCTTAGTTCAGCCAAGAACAGAGGGATGGACCCAATGATCTTTGAGGTTCCTTTTGATTCTAATCCATGTATGTTCTGTGAGTTTCTGTAAAGAACTTTCTGTTTCCATCACCATTGGGCCGTAACACCTGATGTTCCCAAATTGAATTATCAGTTATGTCAGTACTGCCAATAGCCATAGGGTTACACAGCTAGACTTCAGGATGTGCCCCAGAAACAGGCTTGTCCTTTATGTTTTGACAGTATATATGCATATAAATGTTCGCCTTTTTTTCTCTCTTCAAATATCTGCTCCTTAAAGAGGTTACTTTGCAGTTCTACTTTGCATGTCTTCAAACTGAAGATTAATTTTATTTATTTTACAAATGAGTTGAATTTCTTTTTTTTTTGAGTTGAATTTCTTATATGCTCCCCATAACTTAGTGGTTCTATGGAGTTATTTCATTATATTTACTTAACTGCAATGCCAGACCCTTAAAATTTGACACTGGGTTTATGAGAAAATAGCAACTAATCAGAGACAAAGGTAACATAATATAAAGGATTGAGTTGAATCGCAGAAAGATAACTGGAAAATAAGAGCATTATCTATTGTATATTCTGGATTCTTGCTTGTTTAGCAGGTGATCTAAAATGTGTACTGTTAGGAAGGAATAAACAGAAAAAAAATCTCTCTTCTTTGAAGTAGGAAGAGGAATTCTTTGAATATTTATGGGTCTCTTTATCTTCTTTCCTTCACTCGTTATGTGGTTACTTAAATTCTTAGTACTCTTATTTTCAATAATGGAATGGAAATTAGAAAGACTATTTGAAAGGGAGGATCCCACACCCTTTTATGGAGAAAAACTTTAGAATTAAAATGCAGTTGAGCTGAATTTTTATCGATCATAATAGGAAAAATATGATTGGTTGAGAAGATTTGTAAGTAAAATGCCAACTGATAAAACTAGCTGATTATGTGTGTCATCCTGAGGCCTAAGAAGTTTGATTCTCTCGCTCTCCCCAATCTTTGGTTGATGATACTGAACTATATGTATGTCAGAGATACAGGAACAAGAGACTATAGGATGTAGCTTCAAATAGGCATATTAGAAACTCAGTCTTTGGTCTTCTTCTCCTTAAGTGAAAATTGAATAATTGTTAATTTTATTTTCTCATTTACTTTCAGAATAGAGAATTAAGATAGAATTTTTATTGCGATTGCAGAATAAATTATTAAAGAAATTAAAATTCATTAATCTACAAAAGTGGAAATGAGGCTAAATGGGCCCCAGGGTTTTCCTAATTCACTGTAGAAGCCTGATTTCATATGAAGAAGACATCCTTATTTAGAGGAATTCTACTTGTCCTATCAGCAGGGTGGGTTATTTATAAATCACTTCTGGAAAACTCGCCTTTGAATTTCAGGAAAGGTTTAGAGACCCCCAGAGAAAATGCACTGTTTTCCAGAGGTGTTAAAATTCTCATTCTTAGGTTTCTTTCAAAGAAACAGTTATGAGTTATGACTGGAAACTGACCTAGAAAATTGAATGTCTTAGTATTCAGGTGATCGATACAGAAGTAGCAAAAATGATTTTGCTGAATTATTCACATTAATGTTTTAATTTGACTTTCCATTTACATCTGTTATTATAGGTTTTAAAAGGTACTGTGTATGCGGTAAATTAGATTGCAGGACTGTTACTAACGTGTCAATATTTATAGATTTAAATTTCTAAAGAGACTTGCAGATTTTCCAAATCAAAAGTAATACCAAACAAAATGTTTAATATCATATGGATAAATATATTCTGATTAAGTGCACCATTGCTTGACATCACCTCTGGAGTGTGAGGTATTGACTTTTACAGGCCACCTTAAAGGGGAAAAAAATCAATTTATAAAATCAGTTTACCCTTGCAATTAACAGTGATTTTTTTGTGAATGAAAAATCATTTGGATTTCTGTTTGTAATTGCTTCTTTTAGTCTTTACTCCTTATTTTGTCTTTTTGAGACCAGCAGATTAATTTGAATTTAATGGTGTATGATTTTGAAATTTTTTTAAAAGTTATGAAGAGAACTGTGGAAAATAATTATATTTTAAATGTAGATAAGCTTCCTGGCATGTGTCTCTAAAAAGAATCTGAAACTAGTTTAGTGTAAATTCAGATTCCATTATTTTCTGATATAATTTGAACACTTGAAGGACGGTGGTTTGGATGAAGTTATGCTGTGAGAGAAAAATGCTTGAAATGCATTGAAACAGAAGTTTGAGGAAGTTGGTTAGAGAATACTAATATTTGTATATTGCATTTTTTAATACAAATGCTATGTCTATTTAAACACACGAACACTCATGAAAGTGCTCATTGAAATAAGCTATAGACCGTATTTTCCAAAGGTGATCTCTTCACTTTCTGAAATTATCAGTGACTCTTTTTTTAAAACTCCTGCCCAACTTTCCCCTTCCAGAGGATAAATATTTGCTCTGTCCTCTGGACATCAACTGACACTAAACATAATTGGGAAAGAAAATCATTTTGAAAATGAAATTTTCCAAAATGAAAAATATTAGACACTAAAGTTTCTTTTCTCTCACTGTGGATAGTAGAGAACTGATGGTTGATACAAGTGAAGGTTACCACGTGAATAACAAGAAAACTATTTTAATGATAATCTAAGTATGGGCATCCATCATTTTATTTCTTTGCCTGAGGAGAGAGAGCAAGGGACAAGGTTACTGAAATTCACTCCGGCTGTGGCTCTGGCCCTGCCCTAGTCTTTCTGTAGGACTCCCCTCCGATACAGACTCCTTCCTGGAATGTTTCAAATCTTACGTTTAAAGTCGGGAAAGCAACGTAACAGAAGGGTAACTGATGTATTCTGTTCTAGGAGAATATTGTCGCCTCCTTTCCCCTGCACAATCATTTTAAATGGACACTAAAATAATCTGTTAAATTACAGAGGCCTTTTATAATACTCAGTATATTTACTGTTTTATACTCAATCACTCCGGCCGTTCATTCTTCGGGACTGATGTAACATCAAAGTGAACTACAAGCTGATTTCTGTCTCTGACTCCCTGACGGCCTTTTGAAGTCATTTTATTTCATTATACTCTAGTCCCTTGTATTCATCTATAGAAAGGAGAGAAAGCTGCTCCTAGTTAATTATCCTAGTTAATTAAATATTTATTTTCCTCTTCTCAGATCATTTTTAAAATAA